TGTAGTTCCAAATTGTAGAAATGTGATTGTATTTCCCGAGTCCACCAATGTTTCCTGCTGCAAAGTCGAGAAATGTATGCTTTCTCTTCAGTGTTGATCAGGCTGAAGTTACTCAAACCTATAGGCATAATACAATAATAGTTTATTATGCCTATAATTAATAGTCTCCCTGCATTATGTAGGGAGACTATGAATTCTATGACAATCTAAAGAATAAAAATGGGCAGAATTTTCTTTGTACCCTGTATAGTATAGTGCGAATATTATATAGTATTGCATCTTTAAACTATGAGGTATAGTAGCTATCATGAAGATTCCATGCTAACGAGGAGTAGAAAAAGGATTTTTTTAAATTTCAGGTGATGATCATCGATTCGTGCAAGGATTCGGATGGTGTGATCTTGCGGAGTCTTGAAGCAGAGTCTATGGTCTGAAATTTGTGTCCTACCCTCTCTTCCAGCCGATCAAGAAGGGTCTTGAACAGCTCAAGAGACATTCTCACGGGCATAGAAGAATAGCACTCTTTGTCTTCGGTGATAATATTTTCTACTAGGGTCACGAAACCTTCCATCTGATGACGGGATTCGTGTACAGGACATACCAACCTTCCGTACCTAAAAAAAAGGAAAAGTGCTGCAGCACGAACTCTGAAGTTGTACGCTTCCATATTCGATTTCGCTTGGAACTTCTGCGACTAGTGTGGATGATTCTTCGCAGACGGTGCAGTGTTGAAAATCCTTGGACCTAACTTTTCAGATGAGAAGTACTTCGAGTTTTCACAAGAATCCGTCCACTGGAACAAATCTTTGAACGAAAAATTAAGTATGGATTCCTTCCCCAAAGCAAATTTGCATGCATATTCAGTCAGAATGTTTACCATCGCGTCAACAACCGGCTTTAACTCAGGAAAAGGTAGCTGCAAGGGCATGAACTTTCAGCAGATCTTTAAAAAGGAAAGATTAGGCAACTATAATTTACATTCCAGGTTAACCTATGAAAAAACATGGATTCCCTTTCGGAAATGTCCTATAGGAAACCTCCTTTTGGTTTTTGAAGCACGAAAACCCTATAGGATCACTAAAGGGTCGGATAGGACTCCTGACCTATAGGATTCTGAGAGTTTTTTGGGGGTTTCGATAACCTGGCATTACAACGGGAATGGCAACCGGGGTCAATATTGGTGCAGCATTTGGGTGCAAATTAATTACCGACTAGGAGGTTTCCTATGTTTGGGGAAGTTGCATTTCTGATGGTAGTACTGCCTAGAGGAGTATATTGGGTTGGAAAGAAAGTCTTGCAACACTGCGCAAATTTTTCAAAATTGTATAACTTTATTGAAATGCAATTTCAAAATCTTCAAAATCCCTGGAACAGTTTCTTTATCTAAATTCAACTCTTCAGCTATCATTCTAATTGTCAACCGTCTGCCTGAACGCACCAAATCCGTAACTTTTGAGACATTTTCAGGCGTTCTTTTTATGACTGCCTCTCCACAACGGTGGTCGTCATTGACGTCTTTTCTTCCGTCTTTAAACCTTTTATGCCGTACAAAATTGCGCTCTTGACACACTGTAAAAAATGGAGAGTTTCCAATTATTTTTCGTTTAAATTTCCGACAAAGGACCTGTAAACCCGGATTTCGCCTCATGCTCGGAAAATATTTCCTACATTTCTTCACTAAGACTTCGTTTTCTTCTTCGGAATTTTACCCTTCCTCTTCACCTGAATATTACGTCTATGGGACCTACATGCGAATTCCGACTTCCGAGCGAACCACCCTTTTCCTCGTTCGCGTCAGAAGCCTGTTTAATATTATTGTCGAAATATCCTTCATGATCGTTCGGACCTTTGGCATTGCCACCTCGAGTAAACCACCCGATACCTTTAGTTTCCAACCCGAACTATAGATAACTCCCGCTAGGCTCCGATGTCCTCTTAAATATGACACCGTGATGCTTCGAAAAACGCTTTCATTCTTAATGAGAAATATAATTTTATGTTTATTTCCCTGTCGGATACAGGGGAAATGAAGAGCACAACAGCTTCTTCTTCCCATTGGGAGAGGAACTCCTCTGAAACGATGGATGCCCTGCTTCACCGACATCATCAACATTTCCTGGCTGACGGCGGCCCACACTTTACTGGACCAATCAAAATATGAAAGATACAGGACTCGGTCATTCTTCCCTAACACCCTCTCTTTGAGAAGAGAGAGAGACGAGAAAGGATCGCGATCTTTTCGAAAGTGGTTAAAATGTGGTACTGAATAATCGCGTTTGTGAATAAAACGTACAGCTTCTCCATGATATGGATGCGCAAAATGCTCATTGGTTAATAACGGGAGGTTGCGTGAAGATGATGAAAATACATTAATTATGCAGTATTTCGAAAGGGAAGGAGCTGACTTTGAATAATGAAGGGAATTAAGGAAAATCCGAATGAGACGAAAATGTCTTTCGTGAACGGAAACCCCATTCCGACTGTGGCTCGAAATTTTCCGGAAAATGAGAGGAAAGCTCCATTACTCGCTTTCGTCGGAAAGAACGATTTCGAGGTTCTTTTTCGGAACAGCCGGTTTACGTTAATAATAGGAGACGTCGTTTCCGCTGAGAATCATAATCCGTTTCTCCCCGAAATAAACGGAAACCCTGTTTCCGATGCCTTAGTCGGATCTATTTTTTAGCAGTGCATGGTGTGGTCGCCATAAACTTTTTTTAACATTTCGAGCGCTTAAGTTGTGGATTTCCCCAGTTTAACACAAAATTTGAAGCTAGATCTCTGCTCGAGATTACGCTATATTTCAAATCGGCAAGCCCACACAAATACAGTCTACCTTAACGGGCTGCATCTCGCAGCGCACTACACTGAAATTTGCCCGGTTATTAGCTAAGGCTCCCTTCCATGTGAATGTCATAGGCCCACTCCACGCCTCTCTCTCAAAGTTCAGCAATAAAGCCAGTCTGGAAACATAATAGCCACACCTCGTAAGCCGGAACTCCATAGCTGGGGCGATATGAATCTGAAAGAAGTTTTTGCGATATGCAGACATTTCGCTGATAGAAACAATATGCATAGATATCCTAACTTCATAAATATTCACAGGTTTGAATCTAAAGACATCTCCATTTTCCTTAATGAAAACAGGAACTAATTTGGACGGAATCAATTCGTAATGAAGTTACAAAATCAACTATTTCCTTGAACAGATCAACGTTGTCGTACATATAGCGCCATGAGAGGATGCCAAGCGCAAAACCTGTGAAGCCGCTGGTAGTCAGGGATCCTACTCCCCTTGACGCTCAAGCGGTTATCCTTGTCAATGATGGTCGACTGAGAATTGATTAGAGCAAGAGAAAGAAGGGCACGCTTCTTTCTCATTAATTCACCCGAATAAACATTTGTGGACTTCATCGCTCTGATATGATGGCAGGAGTGGTGACTTATACTCCAGCGTAAGCATGGAAAAAACTCTGAGACCTTGTGTGTGGATTCATTGCTATGAGAATCCTCATATGATGATATTCGTTGAGCCTCATAATCTTTGTCTTGGTCGACGCAATGTGGGAAAAATTACGTATTCGTATTATTATTTGAGTCTTAAAATAATACATGTGCCAATTGTATTTTAGCTGTAATGGACGCTTCCACTGCCATTATAAACTTCCCCGACATTCATCCCAGTTCTTGCGAATCAAGGCCTTTCTTCTTAATCCCGTAGGAGGAGTGGGTATACAGGTATTTGTACCTCACCCCATCTGGTGCATCGGAGCCAAAGTTTTTCCGCTTCATTCACTATTTTTATTCGAAGTTGCAGAAGGTGGCGATTTCCAGCAATTGAAGAGTTCTACGGAAAAAGGGTTTATGAGCAAAAGAATCAAATAGAGATGAATGACGAAAACTTTTGAGAGCTAGTAGGCAGCATACTTCAGAAATATGGTACCTTAGACATTTTTCCAAATGAACTTGCTGTTTAAAAGATTTTTTTGTATCACCTTGCCGAGATGCAGGCAGGATGGTGTAATGCACATAACATAAACACAAAACGCCCTGTTTCATATCCGCAATACTGAAAGTTTCCCTAACCAGTATTACGCCAGTTCCTCCCTATTAAAAAGTATATTTTGCCAAAAAAATACATATACAGATTTGAAAGAAACTCTTCTTCAAACAATGGGAATACAAATGTGAATATTCAGGATATATTTGATTCATCTCATCAGTGATTCATTATTCAATGGTTCATCACATGAATCTGCAACAGTTTCATGAATATCGCCTTCTTTCATTCTACCAGGGGCGTGGATGGGTGGGACCTCATCTCCTTTCCTCCTGCCTGGTTTCTTCCGCATTCTCACTTTCGTTTCGGACGGACGGAGTTATTACACCAAAATCGTTCAGAGAAGCAGGTTCATATAGAATATTTTTCGAGACAGACTTATTGAAATGGCCAAGCTCTTGGCCTGCCTTATTGTGAAAGCATGGGAATATATGTTTCTCCTTTGCTGAATACGTATATTATCCATCTGCGAACCACCCTATAAGACCCCTAAAGCAACGCATGGATACGTAAGAAAAAAGGTTATATCGGCATTTACCCTTTCCACACTGTAAAAAAAATAAATCTAAGTCATCGGAAACAAGTTTCTAACCTCAAAATCGATCACTCCGACTAAAGCGAGTAATGGATCTTTCTTCTTATTTTTCGGAAAATTTAAATCCATAGATGGAATCGGGTTCCCGTTCACGAAATAAATTTTCGCCTCATTCGGAATTTCCCTAATTACCTTCATAATTCAAAAACGGCTCCTTTTAATTCGAAATACTGCATAATTAAGGGGATTTCATTATCATTACGCAACCTTCCGTTATTAATCCACGAGTACTTGGTGTATCCCTCATCTTAACAGATGCTATACGTTCTATTCGCAAACTCGATTATTCAGTACTTCTTCTTAGCCACTTTCGAAAATATCGCGATCCATTCTCGCCCCTCTCCCTTCTCAAAGAGAGAGTTTTAGGGAATGATGACCGAGTCTTGAATTTTTTGTACTTTGATTGGTCCATGGAGTGCGGGTCGCCATCTGCCAGGAAATGTAGATGATGTCGGTGAAGCAGGGAGTCCATCGTTTCAGAGGAGTTCCATCTCCCAACAGGAAGAAGCAGCTGTCATGCTCTTCATCTCCCCTGTACACGACAGGAAATATACATTAAACTACATTTCTTCTCGAGAATGAAAACTATCCGTTTTTCGAAGCATCACGGTGTCATGTTTAATCGGAATCATATTTAATCAATCAACCTTCGGTACAGTCCCCAACAGGCGAGCCATCCATTTTGCAGAAACCTTTGTCATACTTAGATGTTCATGGAAAATCTCATGAGCCTTGCCGGTGCTGACCCCCAGGGTAGTAGCAAACTTCTAAACGGGAACTCGTCGATCTTTCAGTAGAATATATTCCGCAGCGCGAATTTTTTCATCGGTGGAAGCCGTTCGAGGGAGACCTCTCTTTGGGTCGTTTTCTAAGGTCTGGCGATCATCCTTAAACCGCTCCAGCCATCGGTTAACGGGATTCTTCGATTCTGCAGATTCTTCAGAGACAGCTTGCAGCCTTGGAACAATCTCAGAACCGCTTGCACCCTCTCTCCGCAAAAGGAAAATAATCGCTCACTGTGCTTTCACCGCGTCTTCCATGGCTCATTCAATAATAAAAAGGCAAGCCTTTATCCAAAACCTTTGCTCAGAATGGGTTAAGCTTCATTTCCTTTTGTACACTGACGGAATTCCCAGAACTTTCTAAACGCCCCTTGTAAATGGAGATCGTTATACATGGCAGAAGAAATGAAGATCGAAAGTAAAGTCCGGCGAAGGGGCGTGGGGGGTGAAGCAAAACACCCTTGCTTCTTTTTTTTCAAAAGTTATCGCAATCCGCTTGAGTTGCCGACATCATTGCTTACATATCCTCTTGACGGAGAGGAGAAGTTTAGCATTTTAAAATCTTCCCCGCTTCCTGGGGAAGAAATGTCTCTATTTACATAAAATAAATAAAGTATAGCACAGAAAAAACCCATATACCTTGACTTTCGATCAAATATGTCACTTAGTTTTGATAATGGAATTTCAATAGTAATCTATTGTTATTTACTTAGAACTGTGATTTCTGATGAAGCATATTTGGAAATCTGCAATATATGACAACTCAATTGAGAATTGTTCAATGGATTTCAGAATGACCCTTCAAATCAAACACATATGACATACTTCTTTTTTTTTCTCGGAAATTAAAGCGACTCAATTGCATACCATTGCCATATATTGTCTTTGACTTTTGCACCCTCGGGTAAATCAATATTACAGTGACAAATGCAGTCTAGATTCCATGACCAATCGGCGCGAGGGGGAACGTAAACTGGATACAATGATGGATTTTTGTGTTCTCCAATGAGTACTTCGCATGTTGGACACTGACTGATTTTGTAGAGGAGATCAATTGAACCTGCAGGAATAAAAAAAGAATCTCTTGATAGAAGAGTTTGGACTTCAACATTGACATAAGGTATAGAATAGAGGGGGACAGTCCAATGATCCATACACAGCAACTCACTTCATCTCCGTCGCTCTCCAGAGATTTCGAAAGGGTAATTTCTCTCCGACCTTCCAGCTTTCCTCTTCCAGAGATAAGGTCTCTGTCTGGAGAACCTGTGTTGCTTCCTGATCTGAAAAAACCTTCCTTCCACCGATGACAGACAGTTCCCCGGCACTGTCTTGCACTATCCCATGACCAGACCTAGCTATTTCTAGTGAGGGAATACTTTCCCAGGGGCTCCCTGCAGTCACTCTTGACCTCCACACGTCCTTTGTGGTTTCCTTCCCATTCCATCCTCCGGAGATGTATACATGATCCTTATAAACAGTTGCTGCATGGCTTGCGACAGGTTTTGGAATGTCAAGGTGCGAGGTACACCAACGTCCGCTTCTCGTGTCAAAGTACTCGCAGCTGAAGAGGGTTCTTTTAGTTTCAGGATCCTCACCCCCCATGAGTGAGATGGTGTGGGGGTCACTCATCACCGAAACTGCTCCCTTTCTCCCATTTGTCATCGGTAAGAGATTTTCCCATGAACCTGTAACGAGGTCCAGTCGGCCGACTTCTCGAGGACTTTTTTCTCCCCCAAAGAGGAAGAGCGAGCTGTGGATAACGACTCCCGAGGTTCCTTTGATGAAAAAAGGAGGTGGGATATGAAATTCCACGTCCCATCCGTAAGGAGCTTCATTGATATGCTTCCTCTCCAGACGAAATATGTGCAATGTTTCCCCTCTTCCGTGTATGAGTCGGTTGGAGTGGGCGAGGAAGACGTGGCTTACGCTATAGTGACTGTTGATCCAGAAAGTCGCGGGGTCAGTAGAGAGTTCCCATATTCCGCCACCCCCCCATCGTTCGTTAATAGTTCCCATGGCGAAGATCCCCTGCTTTCCTGCAATAAATATGTCGCCAGAGTAAAGAAACCTAGAAAATCTTGCAATAGCTAGCGCAAGAAAATGACAAAAGCAAAAGGAATACATTGAAGAATTCATATTCAACCCTTTAGATGGCAGAAAGGAGTCTCAAAAAGTATCAGTGATTTTGATGTGCTGTTTAAAAATGAAGGAGATGATAGAATTTCTACATTGCTGAAATAAGATATTAAGAGAATTCTTGTTTTAGGCAACATCATGAAGGTCTCTCACGTAAACCTAGTTGCTCTTTTTTGTCAGAAGCCTTTAAGCCTTCATTGAAGCATGAAAAACAATCGCTTTCACATCACAAATATTACGCAATACAAATATGTGCAAACAACGACCTATCTACAAAGTCTCTCCATTGATCGACGCTTACGAAAATGTATTATAGGATTCTAATATATTCCTTTAGGAATATATATGAATCCTATAGGAACATAGGGGAATCCTATAGGTTCCTATAGGTCCCATAGGGTTCAGTTTGGGACTTAAATGGTTCCCAATAGAACCTATATGGTTCCCTTTAGGACCCAAAGGGTTCTGTATAGGACCTGTAGGGTTCCCTATAGGACCTATAGGTCTCCCTTTAGAACCTATAGGACCTATGAGGAACCTTATAGGCCAATAGGTTTTCGTTTGAAGTTCTCCTCAAGGCCACTAGATGGAGGTATAATGTTCTCGCATTTCTCTAAGGAGAGAAAAGTGTCCTCCCTTTACCCATGGAATCATCTCTCACAAGAGAGTTTTGTACATCCCAAATGTCTGGCCTAGCCTCATTGTAGCAATCAATAAACTTCGACACTTTCTTATTTGCCATCCCCATCTTCCAGAATCATCGAGTCCAGACCAGAAATATCTCCATATTCCCTTTGAAACCCACGTACGAGAATACATGGACTTTATCCGAAAGGAATTTCAGCAAAGAGACGTCTTCGCAGGTTCTGTCTTCTGTTTCCTTAGGTCGAGAGAAGAATGTAACTTCTCTCTACCGACGGAAGTGGACGCGCAATTCAGCGACATATGTGGGCCTGGCCAATAAATTATGCAGATCTGGGCAGTACTTAAATTTATTATGTAAATTCCTCTACCATGGGAAAACCCCTAATTGGCAATTGATATACACCAAAGTGCTGCGCCAATGTTGACCGCCGTTGCTTTTTCCGTCGTTTTGCCTTGGTTTCGAAGCCCAAAAATCTTCCCCGAATCCTATTGGTCAGGTGTTCTGTACGACCCTATAGGGATCCTATAGGATCCTACAGGTTTTTCGTGTTTCAAAAAGCTATAGGAAAGTCTATAGGTTTCCTATAGGACATTTCCGTAAGGGGAGATATTGCCTTTTTTAAATGGTAAATAAAATCGACCGATGATTCCTTAGGGTTTCGGATACTGGCTAATTATCATGAATTACCTTCAGGAAGATATTTATCTCTCGCCTCATCTTCCTCCACCTCAGGACCCTTATTGCTCTGCAAAAGTGGAATTCATATGTTAGTGAGACGCGAGGAAAGAGACCAGAAACAGAGAAATCGAAATAAAGGTAGCAATCGCTCCGTGATGAGGAAAGCAAACCTGCAGAAAGTGGTACTTTTCATTCAATGCTGCCCAGTCATCATGAGGAAGAGGATCCGGGTCGGGTGAAAATGGCTCAGGGGAATGGAGGAAGCCTCTCCGGACCAAGTCCCTCCATAATCCCATCCGACATTTTACCACGGGGTGAGACCCGCCGTCTACGATCAGTAGTTTCCAGATGGCGCGGGAAATCCCCTCCACCACCCACGAGTCCTCAAGTCCCACGCACATCACCTCGGAACTCTCGCAGCCACGATAATCCTTTGGGTGATAGATCGATAGAACCCCACTCGTTCCTGCTTCCATTAAATTGAGGGCTTCAGTGAAGATATCCTGGATTTCCTCATCTGAGATGAGCACCACCAAGTTTTCCTTCTGAGGAATGAAATATTATTTCTATAATTAAGGAAAGTTGCAAACGTTCCCTAATCATTCATTTCTTTTGTCAGGTAGGAGGTCGAGGCAAGTATTAGATGACAAAATGGAAGAAGTAGCTGATGCTAGTGCGCATGAGTCGAAAAAAAGCGGAGTTAGAGTCGTTAGGAGAATCGTGTCTATGCCTATAAGAGCCTTGTGAGATCTGACTGACACGAGGCTTTTATTTTGTCATGGCCTCCGTGCCACGTTACATAAAAAAGGACAATTTTAGTATATTCAATTCAATCTTATACACACTGCGATTCAAGGCCACCATGAACCTCTCCGTGGCCTGAGGGCACAATGACGAAGTAATTGAACATCGAGACCAGTGGTTCCCAAACTTTTTTTCTGAGACCCTATATTGGCCACCAACAGGACCTCCCGACTCGTAAGCTTATGATAAAATGTAAATATGTTAATATCTTAATAATGAAATATAACGCATTTTGAAAAAAAAACAAACTCTTTTCTTCGGATCACCCTTCGAGACACTACTGAGGACCTCACGCGACCCTGATTTGGGTCGCGACCCAAGGTTGGGAGGTCTAGATCATACACTCTCGTTGTTTACGATTTACCCAATTTTCTTCTAAAATTCTTCTTCCCGAAGCCAATCCTCCCAGCGAAGTCTGGACGAAGAAACCAAGTGTAACAATTCCTTTTTGCTATCATCGTCACTTCATGATGTTCATGCATTTCACAGATTCATCTTGAAGAATTGCTAAATCGGTTCTATTCAACGGCGGGATATTTTTCGCAAGTCCATGAAGGGCGATTTAAAACAACTCAAATAAAACTTATTTAGAATTACCTATTAAACGCCTGGTACAGAGACATGATATCCTTCAAATTGGTCCTTTTGGCAGTGTCTCTTTCTCCATTAGTCTTACACTTACGTGAAATAAGTTTGCTGCCATTTCTTTGCAGCCACCTTCAGTGCCGCCGTCTGAATGCTTGCACTTCCTCAACGGCATCAAAACAATCGCCTTCCAGGTGAGACTTAAGGCGCAGAAGTCCAATAGGAAACCTATAGATTATTCCTGTAGGTTTTCAAAGCAAGAAAAACGTTTAGGATTACTATAGCGTCTTATAGGATTCCTAACATATACTCTACTCCCAAAAAAATATCCGGACACCCCTGTTTTCATAGTTCAATGGACCTTCCCTTCTAAACACGCGACAGAGACCGGTATATAAGGAACGCGTTTGACCACCACAATTTATTGGTTCTCATCATGGCACGTGGAGACGAGTTAACTGATTTCGAGAGGGGTGTTATTGTCGGATGTCACATCGCTGGCCTGTCGATTCCTGCAATTGCGGAAGGCCTGCACCATCCAAAGTCGACCGTCGGTAATGTCATCATGAAAAGGAAGCGCGACGGTACCACCACCGTCCAACAACGCACAGGAAGACCAAGGGAGCTCAACCCACATGACCGGAGGGTACCTAAAAGAGTGGCACGTAAATCTCACCACACATCCCTTCAAAATATCAACCAGGAGTTGAAGGAGTCAACAGGGTTTTAGGTCTGTACGAGCACCCAACGTACCGAGCTCCACAGCCTAGGCTTTCATGGGAGAGCGGGGGCGCATAAGTCATTCTGTACATCACCAAACGCAATCAACGGTCACGCCTTGCATGGTGTAAAGAACGCCTAATTTGTTCATGAAGCGGTGAAAATCGGTTCTATGGAGTGACGAATCTCGCTACATCCTTTTCCGGTCCGATGGGCGGGGTCTGGGTGTGCCTGGAGGGGGAGTGGTTGTCTGGAGAATATCTTATGTCGGAGTGCATTGTGCCAACAATGAATTTCGGAGGAGGTGGCGTTATGTTGTGGAGTTGTTTTTCATGGTATGGTCTAGGACCTTTGGTGGTTGTGCCGGGAACCATGAACGCCGAAACCTTCATTGATGGTGTCCTAAAGATAACCTAAGAGAAATTTTGAACCCCTGGAGCAGTGGTACGCAACATTTTTTAGTACCGGTCTGCTTTCGGAGGTGACCTTCCTCTAGGGCCTTGGGAATGTCTAAGACTCATACGGAGTTGGGATGTTTACACACACTGGAATCCCCGTCACCACATTACATTTGATGCAGAAAGGAAGTGAGCAAACAAGAAGGGCAATGGACATACATGTTGGAGAGACAGGACATAAGCGGCAGCAGTGACGGCGACACATCCTCGACCCCGACCATCGATGCACTTTAATCCTCCATGGTTATGCACACCGAGAGGAGGAGTGATGAGGATGGGTTTCTGCCCGAACACAAGGGAGGAGGGCTGTGGTCTCGTGTTCAGGGTCCCTGGCTTCACTCTCAGTTCATACGAGGATTCATGGGAGAGGACGTAACGAAGGAGGCCTGGGAAACCCACGTCAAAACAACCCCTCAGGATCGTGACACCAGCTGAATTGGATAAATTAAAAACATGACACCGCACATGAAGAAGAATTAGGACTGGTCACTAACTGACAGAATAATCTGCAACTTGGAATTCATTCATGAAGAAAAATGGATACCATATGCGAGTATTTCAAACGCCTCTATTCTCCTTTCGAATATCTTCGTCAATGTTCACGTCTGGCACCTGTAGAGTGCCATGATTGTTCTGAGAAGAAAGATCTTTGATTTTCTTTTAAATATTTTCATCTTAAATATTTTTTCTGGAAATTTTGCAACTTACACTAATAAAAACTGCATATAACCTCTTATTAGCAAGAGAAATGTCGAGTTTACCTTGTCTTGGTGAGAGTTTAAATCCTTTCTTGAACTCCTGTACGTCGAACGTGGTCGTGTAGTGATAGACGTAGGGTTGGAAGGCAACGGTGAGAGAAGCTAGAGTGGCATTGTGCAAGAAGGAATCAAGAATATCCTCCCATTCAGCCCGCAAACCCTTCGTCTCGACTGGTCCAGGTCCAATCGGATGTACAGGGACATTATCGAAAGCCACGTGCAGTCTTCGTCCTATTTGCTCCTCCTTCTGTAACATCTTCATCAGGAGTTGTTGGAGGACTCGAGGTGTAAGACTGTATACGTTATCGAGTTTATGCCTAATTAGGAGGTTGTGGATGTCGAAGGCCTCTATTAAAATTCCCTGTCGTCTCCTTTTCATCATTTCCTCCAAATCTATAAGTGTAAGGCTTTCCGGATATTTATCTTTTCGCCATCTGCTGCAATCAACTAACATATTACGTGGCCTGGACTTGTTTCCTTTTTCGTTCGTGAAGAAATCCTTGTCTCCTTGTTCTTCCTTTCCCTGCAATCTCTCAACGAGGAACATAGTCTTCCCAGAACGAATCGGTCCGAAAACAAGCTCCAATTTTCTTTCCTCAGCTTTGATGTTGATTGAATGAGTTGAGATGTGTTCCCTGATATTAAGCCACAATAACTCTATACGAGGACGGTTTTCCAGTCGTTCAAAATAAACTTCCCTACATGGATTGAGGTTTCTGAGAGAGCAGGAAGTGATGATTCCTTTCCGAAAAGGTTCTTCCCAGCGACCAGAAGCCAATTGATCTAAGCTGATGACATGCAGGGAACGGCGGGCCATACCGACCATCCGAGACCAGGAGCAATAGAATTCTATACCATCCAGGAGTATCACATCCTGGAACGACATGCCTGTCACCTGAGTTTGATACAATATGAGGAATTCTGGCCTGGAAGTTCCTTTTAGCTCCCCTTTCGAGTTGAGACTGGCGACACGTTGTCCAACCCGACGCTCGAGTTCTCCAACAAGAACTTTCCTTTCTGCGACCCTCCTTGTGATGATGACAAATAGTCGAGCATTTCGTACAGATGATTTAATCCATATGACTACCTCCGATACCCATTGGCACATCGATTTCAGTCCCGAAGGAGGTTCGATAAAGACAACACGGGGGGTTTCTTTCGCCTCTCTCAGATCATAATTCAGCCCTTGCATGGGGTGGAGATTGTAGCATGGAAATATCTTCTGGATGAACAGACTGACTTCTGTCACGAACTCTGCTATCTCTTTCGTGTTTCTCTTTATCTCTCTCAGCACTTCAACTTTTTCTTTCCCCAATGAATCGATGACTCGCTGAATATCAAGATTTTCTGGGTAGTCAATGTCACTGGGACGCCAAACGATCCAAAGACTTTGACATTCTATTTTTTCTGCAAAGCCTCTCCAAGTTCGCCCAATCTCCTCTGGTTTTTCGTTCTCCATACAGTAATTTAGCTGCATTTCATCAACAAGCACATGCCTTTCTCTTTCAGAATTAATTTTTCCAAAAAAAATAAGCATTTCTTGTGAAGAATTTATTGTGCCCAACAATTCGACAGAATCCATTACTTTTATTCTTTTCCTGAATTCACAAGATTCACGCCAATTCCTTATATTATTTGTCAGCTTTCCTTCAGACATGTTCACAATGAGGACTGTCTTTCCCCCTCTAGCCAGTTCCTGCGCTCTGTTGAGAAGCAAGTAGGTTTTCCCTGTACCTTGTCCCCCAGCAAGGAAAAGGACGGACCGATCAGATTCCAAGATCCGCTTCTGATCTGGAGTTAGAAGTGTTAAGGCCGTCTGCATATTTTTGTCAATGTGTTTCTGCAGGTCATCCACTGTCCTTGGCAATCCCTCCACGGTTGTTGATACTGCCACGTACGTCCTCATCACATCTAAGTAACAGTCCTTGGCTGCTTGATCCGGGCCCTTGTGTCTTCGAAGAATGATGCCACGACTCTCCAAGAATAGTCGAAATGCATCATGGGTTTTCAAATCATCTTTTGTCAAAATGTTCATATGGCAGCATTTCAAGAACTTCTCCACTTCCGTTCTCTCCATGTATGGAACAGCGAGAAAGCTGCAGAGGAAAACACGGGAAAAGCTATTCCATCCAAGAACACGTTGAAATGCTCGTTCTCTTTTTTTCAGTTTAAATTCTGCTTTCCACAAAGTTTTCAGAAAACGTTTGCGTTTTACATCTATCCTTCCATTAACTTCGACGAAGAGCACTTGAACTCGATCCTCATCCAAGACGATCCCACATATATCGTGATTACCTCCCGCGATATCGACATATTTTGTCTTCCAATAGACTTCTTCGTCTTGCATCCTTCTATCTAAAATCCACATTCCGTTGTAAAACGAAGTGGAGATGTCGCATTCAGATGTTACAAAGCTGGGCGAATTGGCAAATTCCTCCTTCAAAAAGTCGAAAACTCTGGCTGCGGCGCTAAAGTCGGAGGGGATCATCAGATCACCGTTGGTTTCAGTACTTGCTTCTGCTGCTTTCAATTGATGAAATAGTTCATTCTGAATTTTGTCTTTGAGGACATACCCTGCAGGGAATGAGTATGCACGATTCTCTGCGTTTTTATAATGCATTTCTTGATACTTCTTGGATGCTTCAATGAAAGTTAACTCCTCGTTTCCACCTAGGCAAATTTTCATCCTGTCACTAATGCGAATGTCTTCCATTTCAAAGTATTCCAACTGCCTCAGCCGGGCCAGCTTCGTGGAATCCCCACACTTGTGACAAAACTGAGTCTTCTGCTGTTGGAAAAGGGACAAGTATTACACCTGTGCTTCCCCTTTCTTTACTAGATGTGATGCAATTAACGAACCTCCTGCGTAATTTCATGTTTTGCTGATTTCTGTTGCCCCTCTTCTTGCCCATGCATGTCCCCACTAAAAAATATTTGAAAGAAAACGGACTACCTTATTTGCGCGGCAAAGTTCAACGATTACCTATGCCGCAATCACGGGAAAGTTTTTTTCACATGACTTGAAAACAGAAGGTATCATTATCTCCTTGATTTATTAATTCCTTTTCAATTGTCATATTTGTGCTATGGACAACACTTGAAGTGCAAAAACGTTCAAGAGGAGCCATTGTGAATCGTTCATTGTTGCATTCAAATAAATATAGGAAAATATACATGTATATAGTTGTTAAAATAAAAAAACGCTCTACCGTTTTCTCTGGGAGAAACACAGTTTCATAAATTCAGCAAACAAAATTAACTTGGATAAGTAATCGATATTTGACAGTTACAAGGTGTTGAAATGCTTGTCAGCTTTTTTTCAGCACGCCGGCCTAAATAGTGTAATGCCCATTTAGAGGTGAATTAAAGGTGCTTGGAGGTGGAGCATTCCACCTCAAGTGAGGAAATGTCCTGTGCTCGACCGTCTCAGAATGCAAGGAACTTTTCAGGTTAAATTTTTAAAGGGACAGTTGGATCCAGCTGATACATGACAGAGAGGTTCATGAGTCTAAGAGGGTTTCTTTACTTCTGCAAGATGGCGCTGTATCCCGATAGAGGCCGCTGTTGTCGACCGGGTGACCGAGGGTGAATACAACAAAGCTCCACCGTTCTCAAAGGGGATGAGGAATAATTCATGCTCATATACCCTATGCAAAGTTCAAGGAATTGTTCCGAGAAAAACTCAGACAATGTCACCTCCTATACGTCCAATGTTAAAAGTGCATCAATTTCATATTTTTCCCTCAAATACACATCATTATATTTCCCTTACGAAAACGGTGGAGCGTTTTTTGTAGTCACTGTCGGTCACCCGGTCGACAACAGCGGCCTCTATCGGGATGCAGCACCATCTTGTGGAAGTGAAAAAATACCTAATAGACAAGTGAACCTCTCTGTCATGTGTCAGCTGAATCCAATAGTCTCTTAAAATATTAAAGCTGAAAAATTCATTGCATTCTGAGACGGTCGAGCACAGGCCATTGCCTCACTTCAGGTGGAATGCTCCACCTCCAAGCACCTTTAATTCACCTCTAAATGGGCATTACTCTATTTAGGCCGGCGTGCTGAAAAAAAGCTGACAAGCATTTCAACACCTTGTAACTGTCAAATATCGATCACTTATCCAAGTTAATTTTGTTTGCTGATTTTTTGAAACTGTTTCTCACATAGAAAACGATAGAGCATTTTTTTAAAACAACACTATAACTAGTATATTCAGTGAGTTGCTACCAAATCCCGTGTTAATATACCAAGATTCGAAAACTCCTCTGCCTCTTGTTGGGAAAAACTTGACCAATATCATTTGAAGCAGCTGAGGCTAGTGGCCTACTCCCAACTTTCCATTTACCTTTTTTTGCAAATGGCCCAAATTTGTTCGATGGGTCGGACCAGAGGGAAGTTTAAGACTTGCCACACCTGCACCACATTCTTTTAAGGAAAAGAAGCCAAGTCTCTCCTGAAAATTACCCGGGCCGAGTGATAATTTTCAATGAAAGGAAGGAGTATCTTCTTTTTAGGCAGTGATATAGGTACTATTCGTCAGTCATTGGACCATATAATTTGAAGGGTACTGAAATGTTATCGGATACATGACATTCTAGCAAACCAGAAAATGTTGTTACTTTGCTTGGTTTGAACTTGAATTCATTAGCCACGTCGCTTTTGTTGACACAACGACAGTACCTCCTCCCAGGGATATTAATGGGATCCAATAGGACGTGAGTCTCGTCATCCATGAGGACAATCCGTGGAGAATCGGACTGGTCGAGTTCGCAGTAGAGTCTAATATATCCAGCTCGGTGCCTGCGCTTCCTGATATCTCATATCTGTCCTCCACTTTTGGGTCTGCGAAATTTGCAGTGAGATTATTTCGTATTTCAAAGGTGCAGTTTTGGAATATCTGTCGTTTAGTCAGTAGGATATTTCTAGCGAAAATCAAGGGCTCATGAAACAACTGCATGATTGTCTACACGCGATTTTTGTAGCACTTACTTGACTTCTTACGCTTAAGTATTCTTTCCTTTCCTATAGGGAGGGATTCACTGCGATTCTACCCTGGATTCATACCCAAACGTTCAAGATGCTTGTATTCGATTTATTGTGGTGTATTTCAGGTGCAATAAAGCGCTAGAATTCCGACGAATTTGTTTGATTATTTTTCTTACTCTAGAAGGAGTTCTCATATTCGCAATCATGAAGGTATGCAACTGAAAAAATTATTATATGACGCTCATTTGACTACATATTAGGCCAATTAATATTGACATTGAACGGATCAATATCGTATAATTCACATCGTAAGACATCCAGATATCACTAACTGGTTCGACCTAATTCGAAAAAGCAATGAAAAACAGTACTTAGTGCAGCTTGTTTTTGGTATTATTAGCAAGCCCACCCCCAGATAAAGAATTTGGATTTTTTTTTACTGGTAAATCTCCTCAAGGTATTTCATCTAATATATATAGACGATCGTGACTGACTGACTGACTGACGCTAATTCTNATGTTACTTTCCGGTTAAAACGTCCGAGGGCACATATTTAGCAAATTTTCCTGAATTTTCTGATCCAGCAAAATGGAGGGTGCTAGAAAGTTTAAACTTGGCAAAGAAGTACCTGATGACTAGCTGAGTAAAGACATAATTCTACTTTCATATTATATATAGACGATCGTGACTGACTGATATAAGTACCTATTCACATGCTGAGTTCAGGAAAAATTCCACTTGGGTGATACACGCCATAGGGGCACACCTTTACGGGAAACATATTTTTTTTTATAGTTCTCTTTGCTTCAAACAAACGGAGACCCATGGAAAGCTGTAACATGGCAAGAACGTGACTGGCGAAGCACTCAGCTCAAATGTCAAATTTACAAAATATTTTTAGGGGGCATATTTCTTGGGGACGTAACGTTTTCAAATAATTTTTAATATCCTAGCGAATTGGGCAGAAATAGAAAAATAGCAGCTGTCGCACGCATAACGGACGTGATGTTGATTTAAGAAAAAATTCAACTTTTGCTGAGCGTTTCCCCAGAGCACAGCTTTTGGATGGGTTGCTTTTCCAAATATATTTTTTATCGTCAGCAAAAAGGGGAAACGTATAAGGCTGAAAATGGGTGGCACGAAGTTCCCTGAGTCTACATTTCAAAATAATAATAAAAATTCGTTAACACCATTAGTGCACTTTTTGCAGTCCCATTTTCCTGATTATTTTTTGATCCAACGAAACAGAGACAGGAAATTTAAACTTCCCACCCCTGTTTGATGGCTGAGTAGAGGAGAAATCCTAATTTTGAAATATGTATCCTTAGCGTAGATTATTGGAGGGAAGTTTTTCAAAATGTATTCTCCACCCTTACAAAAAGGGACACAAGAAAAGATTTCAAGTTAGGCACACAGAATCATAGAGGTAATGATTTTGATGAAAAAAATCAAGACATTCGACCCCATATGTCACGTATTTCAATGGGGACGTACTTTAAATATGTGTTTCCCATTTCGCAAAAAAATGAATGAATTAATCACTATCCAAGGTAAGGGAGCGCCGAAGGCGCGACCATAGCGAGTAAAATATTTTTGGTCATGTATTGGGTCGATCGGAGAGTTCTGGCCGTTTCGAGAACATTCCATACAACCGATTTTTTTTTTAAAGCAAAAAAGTTCATTTAATAAAGTAAACGCCATCACAGTGAACCACCTGCCAACGATCAGGCAGACTCCTGATTCCACTCTGTAGAACTGAGTTGGCTGTGAGTCGAACAAATCAGTCACTTTTCGACCTCGGCTTCATAGTTGATCCCTTCTGGCGAAGATGGTTGCCCAGAGCGCGGAAGAGATGCTGGCGGTTGACGCAGATCTGGGCTATACGGAGGATGAGTAGATGAGTAGATGAGTAGCCCAGATCCAGTAGTTTCTGCTGTGTGAACTTTGTGACATGGGGCCTTGCGTTGTCTACAGGAATCGAACATGACGGTGGCCTAGCCTCACCGTGCGGAGTTTGTCGGCGAGCTTCTGCAGCGGATCGCAGTTGTAGGCGGCGGTGATGCTGGTGCCGGGTGGGAGCAGCTCGAATTAGATCACGTTCCACCAAGTGCTCAATATGATTTTTCGGGGGTGCAGATCACCTTTCGGCTCCGGCTCTGGCTGGGGATCAGCATCGACCCACTGGCGCCTGCGTCGGTAGTTGACGTATGGCATCCACTTTTCGTCTCCAGTGACTACGGGATCCAGCCAGTCGTTTTTGCGCTCGTACGACAGCAGCGAAGTGCACACCTCAGCTTGGCGTTCGCGGTCGCGGTCGGTCGGATCGTGGGGTACCCACTAACCCGACTTGCTCTTCTTGCCGATTGCAGCCAGGTGCGCAACGATCGTGGACTGGGCGCAGCCAAGTGCTGTCGCTAAGTCGTGGGTACTTTTCCTCGGATCGGCTTTCACTGTGTGCTACAACTGCTCGTCGTCGATTTCAGATGGACGGCCTGACCTGGGCTCATCCTCGAAGCTGTAATTTCCATACCGGAAATGATCGAACCATCGTCGCGCCTTCCTTTCATAAACTGCACCTTGGCCAAACGCGGCGCAGAAGCGGCGACTCGATTCAGCTGCTGATGCCAGATAGGAAGTCGTAAATCAGGCACTGACGTTGGGCGGTCTTGTTGAAGTCGATTTTGGAAGGCTTTCAACGACTAAGCAACTGCTGCGTAATCACGCCCACACACCTTTTATACACTGCTGGTGTGGAAGGTTCGAGAAAGTTCCATAAACTTTTTTCTGGAAAATTCTCGAAACCGCCAGAACTTTCCGATCGACCCAATATAAGCATGACATTGGATTTTATTTTATCTTGTCGCACCTAACGCTTGGGGACACAAACGAGTAAGATGATGAAAGGCCATTATGCTCTCTTTCTAGAG